GGGAGAGCGTGCTAAAGCAAATCCGGCCTGGAGAGGATGGTTCACTGTTCAGATTACCTCCTGGTCTTTCAAACGACCTGAGTTTGGTTCCCAGACCCACACTGGAGTGGCTCTAAGCTACAAGAGAATCCAATACAAGTACTGAAGTCACGTGCACTCATAATTGAAATAATAACAATAATAAATATATAATTTAATAGTCATAATTATAATTTAATATATTCATATAGTAATATTATAGAGCAATGAAATTTATATTGTGTTTATTCTCATTTAAAAGAAAAAAGGAGAGAACTAGGGCTGTGTGGCTCAGTGGAGAGTACTTGTTTAGCATGTTTGAGGCCCAGGTCTAACTCCTAGTACCGTCAAAAAGAAAAAGGGCGAGGAGTCAGGCACATACTTGGTTTGCAGCTTCTCAGAGTACTGAGTGTCTACCCACACTGTGTTCCTACCCACAGTTCATCTGCATGATCACTCTGGCTACATAAAAAGTCAATTCTGCATTTAAAGTTATTTGAAAGAAAACTATAAATGGAAGGGCACCATTAAGCCTTAGTATTGGCATCCAGGGTTCCCACAGCTGGACAAGCATGCTAGCATTAGCTACATCCCTGACTGCCCAGTAGCCTTAAAAGTAAACATCTTACTTCCAGGCTAGGTGGAACATCCTTGTAATTCTAGCACTTGGCAGGCTGGAGCAGGAGAAAGGAATTGCTCAGAGCTGGGGGCTTTAGATCAGTAGTAGACACTAGGGAAGGAAGTCCTGGTCTTGACCCTCAGCTCCAGGGAGGTAAGGGACAAAATTACACTCTCTCACCAGCTCTACAGTTAACATTTTTTATTGAATTTTCTTTTTTGTTTGTTTAATTGGTTGGTCTTGTTGTTATTTTGTCTGAGATAGGCTCTCTAATGGTTCTACCTCATCCTTTGTTTGCACTCTCCTCTACAGTCTGGGTGCATCATGAGCACATCTGCTCAATCCTCTCCTGATGGACTTTTAGGTTGTTTACACCTAGTTATCTTTTCTTTCCTTTTGGTCCAGACTCTGAAGACATACATGTGTATGTGTGTTGCAAGGGTTCAATGACACTATCATGTGGTCTGTGGAAAGCTTCTTAAGGTACCACAAGGGTACAGAAGCCATTTGGATCTAGCAGGATCTCCAGGGGGCACTTGGGGAAGTCACATGGTGTGGAGCACTCACCACACAGGATGCGATTGTCCATGCACTTCCATGAGTAGCGGTCTAACTTGGGGCTGCAGCCAGCATCCTGAGCCCGAGAGTAGCAGCAGTCATGGTAGAGGCAGCACCTGGAGGTGAGAGTGGGCAGACCATAGATGTGTGAAAGAGGAAATTCTGCTGGCATGTGACAGAGATTCCCAACAGCTAGTGTCCCCTGATGGACATGCTGTCCCTCACAATACCAATCCTGGAAAGAAATTGTAGCAGCTGGATGCGACTTCCCAGCCTCACTCCCTGACCTTGCCTGTCTACCCCTGCCTGCCTCCTTGTAACTCTGAGCCCCAGCTACCCTGGCAATCTTCCCTTCATTCCTGGGCCTAGGTTGTGACTTCTGCCTGGACAACCCAGTGGCCTTCTTGTCCATTAGGAGTCAGGATCCATTTAGGTTAGGCTAAAGGCGTGCAAGTGACCTCTCTGGAGATAGCCATCATTCTGCATGAACTGTGACGGGCGAGCTCTAAGAGGCAAGGCCTAGAGAGACTTTATCTCAGGATTGCATCTTGCAGCTGATCTGCCTTTCCTGTCAGTATTAAAATAGTATAATAATTCCTGGGCATCAGCCCACCCTACTAGACAGATTTTCTGCAGATCAACAAAGATATACTATCTTGTAGCAATACTATGTAGACAATTTGATGATTTCATAATTCCTAATAATGATTCTATAGAATTCCTAAATTTATACAGGAAATTTTGAGCCCTCTTTAGTATGAAGGCTGCAATTAGGGTTCTGTAAACCTTCATGTGACACGGGCTAGTTGCACTGGGATAAAAAGCAGGCTTGAAAGAGACTTGTGATCAGGGAAGGGATTCCTTCTGTGCTGGCTGTGAAACCACTGTCTGAGTGGATACTTTATTGCAAGCACAGAAGATGAAATGACAACTAGGTTTATCTATACAAACTTTCAATACTAGTGAGACACAAGACAGATGAGTTGCCTCTTAACTAAACTGTGCTAACTCAAGACATAAGAATTATTGTTTTAAACTCTTAATGAATGTGTGGAACTAGTGGCAGATAATGTTTAGATAACTCATCTTAATTGAAACCTATGTAAACATTCCTGCTGAAGCTTATTTGACTTATGATGAACTTCTGGAATGTAAAGATTCCTGAAAAACCATGTGACCTATTGTCTTGAGAAAGTATAGATACTAAGAATAACAATAAGTGGCAGGGCTTTTTTCATTCAGCAATGAAAAGGTAGAAGCTTTTTCTTTCTCTGAGCAATAAAGGTTGGAGCTTATTTTTCATCCAGAATGAGTGAGTATGTAAGTGTGTATGAATACCTGTGGACTTGTGAAGTAGATGAGATAGGTGGTCAGGCCCAACAAGAATATATGTGTGTTTGTGTGTGTTTGCGCATATTTGCAAGCATGACTTTCTTTTCCTGGTTCACAAAGAGTTAACAGCTCCAAGCCTCCCTCTTGGCTTATACCCAAGCTCTGTGATGGACCAGATAAGCAATTCAATGGCTCTGAAGTATGGCCTCCTTATGTATGAAATGGGTATGTTAAAAATCCTCAGAGATCCTCAGGCTGTACAATGGTCTAAATAGCTTTATGTTACTCCTCAGTGAAGGCATCAGTCCACAGCCAGGGTAAAGGTTAGCTGGCACCAAGACATCTCCCCACTGACCCAAGAGCCCTCTGTATTCAAGGTAATGCTAGGTTCTGGGATCTTCCTGAGTCAAAACCAGACTTCAGTTTGGGGTTTTCTCGTAGCCCTTAGCTGTCTTAGGACTTGGGAGACCTTTTCTACTCTGGGCCCAGTGTACACTCACCAGTCAATGGCATCACGTGGCTCTCCGTGGCCACCAAGGCCACAATAACAGCCATAGTTCATGTAAGCCATCGGTGATCGAGGACCAACGCAATCCAAGGTCCCTGCCAGTTCCAGAAGTCCACGCTTATACACATGTGACCTCCTGGTTTCTGAGGGGGTAAACAAAGGTCATAGGTTCAAGTTCAGAGCTTCCCTATCCCTAGTGAGAGGCACTGGCCCAAGAAGGACCTAGACGTAGCAACTTAACCGGGTTTAATTCCACTTCTAGGTATGTGACTTTGGACAGATTACATAGCTCTGTGCTCTGCTTTCCTCATTTGCTTAGTGCAGGATAAGGTAGCATCAAGTCACAGAATAAAGTGCCTTGTGCAATACAAACTCCATTGCAATCCAGATTCTTTCTCTCCTTCTTTCTTTCTTTCTTT